ATTTTTTGTTATGCACGATCCGCACTACCATGCTTCCGCACATGAAAACGTTTCAAAAATCAACATCCTCAGTCACTTGGGTCCAGCCCAACCCAGTCAGGGCCAACATCATCGACCACAAAGACGACCCTTTTAGGCATGCACAACTCCGAAATCCACAAACGATGACTTAAAGGCCTCTATTTGTTCATCTGCCGGATGCCCACAAGCCACCAGACTTGCCTTCATAACTGCAAATCTACTTGGACCAATCGAAAGAGGCCACGAACACTGCACCCTCCACATCAGTGAGCCCACCGCAAAAGAGCCCTAACATCTCGCGACTCCACTGGAGATTCCCCGAAGGCTTCGTCAAAGACTGTGAACATAGAGACTTCACTTAAGGAAGATAAAGTTCCTCTCCCACACTATTTGCTTACTTAGAGATCCTCTTCACTAAGTCTTGTCACACCTCCCCAAGCGGGGTGGGTGACGTAGAGCTCGATTAGGGGTTAATAAAGCAGATTCTCCATCGGCCTTACTTAATTCGATTAAAATGTAAATAAATTACAAGATCCTGAGCCTCTGACAACACAGGGCTCCACCCACAGGACATACAGTATCGTACATACATGCACATGTAAATAATCATTACAACAGACATCAACCACAGTCTAGTAAATCCAAATATTACATGAGTTTACAGAATTCTCGATTCCTTACACTTTTATGTCAGAGGATGAACACAATCCTTACTTGATTGATCCGTAGCACAACTCAGCTACTCCGTAGCAAATATCCAGCTACTGTGCATCGCTCCTAGAATCTCCTGGGAGGGGTTTAATACATTTAAAACATAAAACGTGAGCGAAAGGCCCAGTAGGATATAGTTTGAAATGACTGTATAAATAAATGAATAATAAATTAGCAACAAGTAAATAAATGAATAAGTAAATAAAATAAGACATTCAGTTCCGACAGGCAGCCGGAACCTCACATCCTTTTTCTCAAAGGAAATATAACTGAAAATAACCATATTACAGGCATCAGCAAGTAATTAGTACAAATTACTCACCTACCAAGTGCCTCGCCTACCCGGACCGAGTTTCGGGTTCTGCCCCCGAGGATGCACTCTCCGCATCCTATCTAGGCTTACAGCAATATATTCTTACCGGGTCACAATATCTCTTATCTTAATAAACCATTCATTTAACATTATAAAATCGTTAATATGACCCCACGAACTACTTAAGCCGCGGGCCCCATGACTGGGCAAGCCATGAGATTCCATGACTACACAAGCTATGGATTCCATGGACAGGACAAGCCATGAATTCCATGAACTAAACAAGCCATCTTTTTTCTTTCACAAACCAACCCCTTTCTTTAAAACATTTTCAAGGCCGAAATCCTTTTTGAAACAAGCTCACAAGGAAAAGGGATAGAAATCCTACCTCACACTATCAAACCTGGGACTAGCGTTGTCTTTTTCTGGCTTTCGCTTCCTCAAGCCCCTTCAGTCTGAATCCTCAGCGATCACTGATACAATTCTCATTCCTAAAGCAATCCAATCTCAATTTCCAACCAAGAATTTCCTATTAGTGTGCCCTAATCCATTTTCATGTTTCAAATTATCATTCCAAGGGTTTTTAATCTCAAATCAAGGATTAAGTTGCTAATCCATTTATCTCAAGTCCCCAAATGAAGTTAATTTGGGTTCTCCCTGAAAACATGGGTCAAAACAACAATTTCAGGCCAAACAGGGTCAAACCCCGTGTCAACCGGTCGACCGGTGACAGAACAGTGCATCACCACCGGTTGACCGGTGGTGTGTAATCCGGTCGACCGGTGGCCTCAGTGTAGTCCGGTCGACCGCATCGGTCGACCGGTGAAGAACTCCAGTGCGAGAAAACTCACGAAAATCAGTTCGAAAACCTGCAAATCCAGTCCTAAATCAAAATATTTCAAGGGACAACCACTAGATATAGGTTCTAGGTCCTAAAACAAGTCCAAAGAACCCAAGATCTCCAATTTCTACCCTAGTTTTACTCAAAAACCATCAAAATCTATTTCAAACCAAAAATGAGTTTTAAATCCGAAAACTTAGGATTTTAAGAGAGGTTTTTCAGAAATCTTACCTTGAATCCTTCTCTTGATGTTGAAACTTCTTGAAACTTTCCTTTGGTTCGAAATCCAGTTGATTTGAAGCAAAAACGGGAGAGAAAGAGAGAGAGAGTGTGTGTGTGTGTATGTGTGTGTGTGTGTGTGAGAGAGAACGAGAGAGTGAGAGAGAAGGGTGCACGGGAAGGAAGGAAAAGAAAAAGAAAGAAAAGGGAGAAAAGAAAAAGAAAAAAGAAAAGGAAATAGACAGGTACTGACATTTAAAGGAAACAGTCCAGAAATGCGCTCATACACACTTCTGGGTTAAAATAAAAATTACTGAGAATATTTAAATACCTTAGAATTATCTAAATTACACGTTAGAAATATTTATTAATCGAAACCAATTAATAAATCCAGATTAGGCACACTAATAATTCTTAACTATCTTAATTAATCTCGATTAATTCTTCAGGGTGTTACAAGTTTACACATTTACGGAGTTAAAATCGTAACGTGTGTTGCCCTCAAAACCGATTTCCTCAAGGTCACTTAGGTCTAGCCCAACCCAGCTGGGGCCAACATCATCGACCGCAAAGACTACCCTTTCAGGCACGCATAACTCTGAAATTCACAAATGGTAACTTGAAGGCCTCTATTTGTTCATCTGTCAGGTGCCCTCCAACTACCAGACTCGCCTTCATAACTGACAACCAATCCACTTAGACTAATTGGAAGAGGCTACGAATGTCGCACCCTCAACGTCAGCGAGTCCGCTGCAAAAGAGCCCAACAAGAATATGGGTATTGGTTTGCTTTTTGGTTTATGAAATCAATTTGTGCATATAGTAGCAGCGACTTAGTTTGGTTAATTAGTTTTTTTTTTTAACAATAGTTTGGATATTAGTTTGATGTTTGTTAGTAATGTTGAAATAAGTTCAATTTTAGGATTATTTTGATCTTTGTATTGAATAACATCAGATTGGAGGAACTTTTGTGAATTGTTTGATTTTTTTTTTACAATTTTTTTATCTTTTATTGTTCCGTCGACGACATCGAAGTTACACCGCCGAGGGTCCGAGAGTAGTGGTCGGCGTCTAAAGGGAGATTTTTTTTAATTATGTGGAATATGTGGTGACAAGTTGTGTTTTTATAAAAAGATAGCGATGTTCGTATAATTATTTTTATTGTATTTAGATTGTAATTACATATGGAAGAGACAACATAAACCTTAACCAAGATCTAATATGGGCCATTTTGACCCTATCAATAAAGTAAATTGGATCACTGTACATGTCCACATATCAAACATACTATTAATAACGATAACAATAAGAATAAGAATAGGCTGCACCTTTTTTAAGATAATCTTATCTGGAAATAGAGATATTTTTGTTGTTGTTGATACGACGAGGTGTAGTGGTATCATAGTACCCTCCCACGGTACTGCCCGGGGTTCAATTCCCCGGATGCGCAACCAGTCTCTAACCATTTTTACTCATTTTCTGGCGTATCTTTTCCGTGTAAATTTTTTTCTCCTTTATTTAACTTTTTAATTTTAGTTGTTTTCTATCCACAATAATTCTTTCCTGATCTAATAGTGATTCCACACAACGTTGATTGTCCATTCAGTTTTTTCTTGTCGCCATTCGATAGTCGTTTCACCGATTTTGATTAGCCGTCGTTTATCGGGTATTGGTCGTTTTTTACTTTGCTGCCGTTCGGCTTTATTGTATAGACTTTGTTCGTAAACTTTCAATAATGTGGGACTCTAAGGGAGACCTAACACTTGTGCATTGAGCTGTTTGGGAACTAGGAAAAAAACCAAACACAAAAATGTAAAAATGTAGTTAAACATGAGAAAAACGTTACTAAAAAAAGCTGAGAAAAATGACATAAATTATTGTGGAGTTAAAATGGAGACCAATAAAGGGGCCTAAAAATCACGAGAGAAAGAGAGAAATATGCTAAGACTTGAGATGAATTAAAATTAATAGGCCAATAGTTTACATAAGTTAATAAATGGGCCAAATTACTATTTTCGTCCATAACTTGTCTGATTATGAACTATAACTTAACAAATTATTATCCATAATTGTCTATAACTTGTCTGGCTATGAACCATAACTTGACAAGTTTATCCATAACTTATCTGGTTATAAATCATAACTTGACAAATTGTGGTCTATTAATTTCTATAACTAAAAATTAACTTATATACGTTTTTAAGCTTTTCATATTAGCTTATTTTCTACTATTTTTCAAAATCATTGTGGAGTTAAAATGGAGACCAAAAAATGAGGCCTAAAATCCCAATTAAAGCCCATGACAGTTTAGCCTTAATGCCACGTCATCAATCCATCATCTTAGAGCCGAGGCTTTTGGAATGTTATCGGGAAGACAAGCTTAATAGTCCGCTTACGATGTCGAGGCTACGGAGAAGATAGCATCCGCGGAATTGCTCAATAAGTCATTATTTATATTTTAAATATATTAAATTTAAATAAAAAAACCGTCTTAATTAAATGTAATATCGATCTTTTAAAAAATTATCCTAAAAGATCAGGAAATTATCCCTAAATTAAAAAGAAAAATTAAGAGAGGCAGCCAAAAGCAATATAAAAAGGGAGATTATAGGTCAAAAATCCCCCAAGTCTCATTAAGAACAAAAAGAGCATGTAACTCTCTGATTAGTGACTTTTCTACTCCTCACATAACTCTCACATAGAGAAAGAACCACTATAAATCCTTTGTGTTCTTGCTTTTATTGCTTTTTAATCACGTTTTTCTGCATTTATTACACCGCAAATCTTGTTAATTCATTAATTTATTTTTCACCATCAACAGAAATTTTTTAGTTATCCAAGCACAGCAGAGCACGCTACTTGTGCTCGGCCTTGACAAGAAATGCTATATTCGAACTAGTGAGCTAAACGCGGATAAATAATCTAATAATCAAATGATATATGCAAAATGGCACAGCACATTCACCATTTGTGTCCGGTATAAACTTCCAAATATGTTGAATGAGTTCTATAAAAAAAACAAACATTCGTCAGCATTCAGCAATCAATATATAAGTTGGAAAACTTTTACGCTGCAGAACCCAAACTACACTTTAAGACAATTTCCAGAAGAGATGAAATTCCTCAGATGATTGACTTGGCACAAGTTCCAAAATTACGTAGCATGCACGTCGGTGCTCAAGCCGTTGTCGTTTCCCGCAGTAAGTTTGTTTTAAGAGGAATGGAGTATCTTCTTGTAATCGTGGAAAGTTCCATGGAATGGAGCCACCTTACCTTGTGATACCACCCACAGCTCCTCCACACTCCCAGATATTAGATGCTCATCATGACTAACCTGCAATCCAGAAGAAATATCCAATTTGAATGCAATATCAAAATGGAATGTCAAAAAAAGAAAAAAAACAAAACAAAACACAGAACAAAACTAGTTTGCCTGTTTCTTGGGTAGAAATAAAATTTGTGGAGAATGGAATTAATATACCATGAGAACACCTCCTTGGAACAATACGAGTCCTTGAATAAGTGCCTCCACAGCATCCAAGTCCTACATTTTCAAAAACAACTGGCATATGAGACAAATTTCAATAGACGAAGACAGTATTGTTCGTTTGATAACTAAAAAGAAAAACTAATTAGACTCCTGTAATTTTCTGAAAGTCTCGAACTCAAAATAATAATAATGATAATTTGACGATAGCAAGCTTCTTTACTGAGAGGATCGAGCCTGCAGGCTAAACTTCTTGTGCGTCAATATGCAAACTGAGATTCCTAGACTAGTTACCTTCTCCTATATGTATGTATCCCAAAGTTCCACTTTTCTCAAAAAAAAAAAAAAAAAAAAAAAAAAAAAAAAAAAAAAAATTTGAAGGGCTAAGTTAACCATGCTGTTCAACCACGATAATCACGTCGTTGAATTATCACCAGTCCAAAACCATAAATGATAAACAAATAAATATAAGATTCTTTCTATAAAAGATAAATAAACAGAAGATTCATAGAGGGGGGCAAATCAACTTACCAAGTGATTGGACGGCTCATCAAGCAATATTATGTGTGGTTTCCTAAAAGTTATCTTCGCGAACGCAACTCTGCTCTTCTGACCACCTAATGTACCAGTAAGAGGAATTGAATATGCATCCCAGTTGAGAATAAAGCAATGAAGCCATAGATAATTGATCATTGTCAAAAATTGGCTGGCACCTGATATCAGCATAAGGTCTGCCTACTCTTTTAGCGAGCGTTCAAACCTTACAACCCAGCCACTTGTATCTAACATCGACTTTAAGCTATAATGTGCAGACATGAATAAGAAAGAACATACCAGACAAAGTGTACATTGGCTGAAGCGCAAGATTTCCAGTAACCCCGAGAGAACCTAGGTGGGCTCGAAGCTTCTGTTCAGGCACACCCTGCAAGAAGGAACCTTCGCATGAGTAATTTGTCCAGCAGTATCGCATAATCGTTTAAAGTGGGAAATTTTAAGTAGATGCACCAAGAACTTACTGGGTAGCATCGCATCATATACAAAAGTGGATTTGAAGATAAGTCTAGCCCATCAACGTGATGCTGACTGAACACCGCAATACGAACCTGTATGAGTAACAAGAGTATCAGATTAAAGCATAAAACTCCAGATCTGCAGTGAAGATGACACAAATTTAGCTTGCATAATATATGGAAATAAATTAATGATGAGTCCAGCAATCCTTTTGTATGAACAAGTATTAACAAATAAAGTGGATATCAACATATTGACATGTCAATAAAATCTCAAATGATACTAAAGCTACTAATTTTAATATTGTGAACGAGTACAGGTAATTCAAGGAAAAATGAGCTATACCTTAGCAGAGCGGAATACTGTCCCAGAGGTTGGTTGTAGCTCCCCTGCAATTAGTTTGAGTATTGTCGATTTGCCAATGCCATTTGGCCCAACCACTGTAAAATGTTTTGGAAATCCATACGGACAACGCCAACATTAGGAAGAAGTCAAAGGAAAATGCCAAGTTATCTCATTAGTGCAAAAAATAAATAAATAAATAAAATAAAAAATAAAAACAAAACAAAAAATAAGAAGAAAACAAACAAAACAACAAACAAGAGACATTAAGAGATTTATAGATCTTAAAAAATGCAAATTGACAAGTTTATGCATTGAACATTAAGTGGAAAAATTGCATACTGCTAACTGCATTCATAAATAATTTAGCATGGGGAGAAAAAAGATTTCACTCGGACTAGCTTCCTTACTTGCAATGCGGCTGTCTAGGTCAATTCCAAAATTCAAGTTCTTAAACATTATGGGTCCACCAGGATAACCAAATGATGCATCACTGCAATCACATGAAACAGTATGATCCGGTGAAGATATGGGAATAGAAAACAATAATAAGAAACAAAAGTATGAAAAGGCTATCTTAAACCAGAAAAAGATTAAGAGAGAATATGTTTGAATCAGAGAAAAGACATTACTACAACAAAAATGAAGCAAGAAACATAAATCTTAACCACATGCGGAAATAGAAAATAATGACAACTGTGGCCTTTCAATGACACTGGAAAAACCCAAAAGGCATCAACAGATGGATAAATAAATACTCAGCAACATGAGCTGCAAACCTGAAACTTATAATGGGGGGGCCTGGCCTGTCATCTGGAGTTGGGAACTCAAACTTATAGCTGCACATAAAAAGGCCAACTACACATTAATAAAGCATAACCTAAAAAGGGGAATATATATATATATATATATATATGGCAAGAGAGTATCAAAATTCTGAATTGACTGCAAAGAGATAGTCCTGCTTACTCGGGGTCATTAACAACTTCATCCACATAACCCATCCGCTCCAGTGCCTATAAGTCAGGGGGAAAAGAGTGATGGTAATTGATTTACAAATCATAACAATACAAAATACTATATGAAAACCGAAAACTGGTCAAATTAACCATATCTGAACGGTGATCATGGGCCTAAGAACATCTAAAGTAGTCAATTAAAGCAGCAAGGCAATGAAAAGCAAAATACCTTGATTCTCGACTGAACAAGAGATGCTCTCTTTGCATTGTAGCGGAACTTATCAACAAAGGACTGCAGTTTTGACAAAACCAATTGCAGGTCAAACATGAGTTATAGAAACACCAGATTGTTGAGAAAAAAGAGGGGCAGAGGGGGGACAAGGCGACAACAGAGGAAAATGTCAATAAGAAGATAATTGGTTTAACTTGTAAAAGGCATAATTATTTGCAAAAAAAATTCACAACTCAAACTTTGCATGTGAGAAAAAACACTAGCAAAAAGTTGAATTTGAATTTTTATGAGAGAAAACACTGTAGAAAAAAGTTTGAGTTGTGGTTTAAGTTGTGAAAAGAACAAGGCCTTTAAATAGAAAGCTCAATACAAGAAAGAACCCTCAAAAGAATTGATAAAAAAGTGGAAGGCGTTGGAGGTAAGTGAGAGAAGTGTAGCAGCAAAGTACCAAAACAAAATACTCATGGACTATACACGACATAAACCCGGATTACCAGGCCACGACTTTAAAGATTAACACGGACTGTCTTTGACAATTATTATGGCCTGACCACACTGAAGTGTCGATGCAAAGCACTTCAGAAAGGTCGAAATGACCTATAATGGGGGCAAAGTTTAACATGAACCAAGACCTCACAAGAATAAACATTGAGATGAGAAAATGAAACCTGCATATGAGCTCTTGCACGTTCATTTGCTTCAAAAGCTTTCTGTTGATTCTTCATCTGTTCCTCTCGTGTCCTCTCAAATGTATCATAATTCCCCTTATAAGCAGTCAGTTTCTGCCCGTGTAGGTGAAGAATATCAGTGACCACCTACAGAAGAAGCAGGGAACTTTGAGTGAGACATAACAAAATGTTTCAACAAGCACATTATAGATTAAAAATTATTACATGATAAAACCACAGGAGAAAAATGAGAGGTATATTACCGTGTTCAAGAATTCTCTGGCATGAGAAACAACTATGATTGTTTTTGGCCATTTCAACAGGTGGGATTCCAGCCATAGAACAGCATGAAGATCAAGATGGTTCTGACATTATAGAAATGGAAACAAAAGAAAAGAGTGCGATGTACACGTCAAACCAAAGCATTTTTTTATAAATTACAAAGAGAAAATCTAAAAAGCGTATGCAAAATGTGTATAGGTTAAAATATAAATACTAGAAAGTACTAGTAGTGCACACAACGCACCGTAGGTTCATCAAGTAGCAATACATCAGGCTCTACGAACAGGGCACGAGCAAGAGCTATTCTCATTCTCCATCCTCCAGAAAATGTTTTCGTTGCCTTATGTTGCATTTCGGGAGAGAAACTGAGACCCTGTAAAAATTATGGATCGAGAGGATACCTATCAAAAAATGAGTAAACTAAAAGGATAAGAGCGCATCTAAAGAGAAGCAAAGAAGCTTCCTCAACTAAGAGGAAATTCAGCAGATCGGTCATTGTTAAACCGGACACATTTTTATGCGACATTATGACAGAAGGCATCCGACATGCTTGCACTGCATGGTTCATCTGTCACTGGCCCCCTTCTTTTCTTAAGTAATACATCAGGTCACTACAATCTTGCAACCATTCATCCCCTCCTTTCAATTTATCCTTCAAAACAAAAGGTACTCATTCACCAAAACTAACACCCTAATTACATTTTCTGTTCTCCAGAGTCAGCTATCTTCATGTCCTTTTCAGGTGACGAGTTGATAATATCCCAATAACATCGTTTCATGATAACTATGAATCTCAGCTAGAGCTGAAGAAAAATCCACCCAATAATCTAGGGATACCAAGTTAAGAAAACACTTTAAAGTCATGAATGCAGATTGCAGACAAAACAAAACTTACAGCAAGAATGGCAGCCGCATGGGACTCAGCAGAATCTGCATCAATGAGCTGAAGCCGTTTGTATACCTCCTCAAGCCTTTGTGAAATGGCATCTTTTTCAGTTCCTCCAGTGCCTTTGTCATCATCCAAGTCCAGTTCTCTCTTGAAGTAACAATGATTTATTAGGACAAGTGGAGAATGAAAACATCAAACGAGGCGGGGGAAGAAAAGGTAAACTAAACTAGATAACTGAGTGACACATCAAACACAAATCTGAAATAAATATATATTTACTTGTCGAGCAAGAAGACGAGCTTCTTCTTGCAAAAGCTGGGTTCTCTCAAGATCAGAGTTAAGAACACACTGCAGAGCTGTTGTATCATCGCCAACAACTTCTTGTTCCACATGCAATATTTGGCAGTTTGGAGGAATGCCATCAATGGCGTGCAGAGCCATGTGCCTAAGGAACGTTGTTTTCCCTGTACCATTTCTTCCGACAAGACCTGGAAGAATTGAATTTTAACATATTATACAAGACACAAACTTTGAATTCATCATTCCTGATTACATATAAAAGGTACTCCACAATATAGTAAAAGTTAAGAGTCTCACTAGCAAGCCAGTTGGAAATTTTTTTTTTCCTATATAGCACTGACAAACCCAACAGGCCCATGGATTGTATGAATAGTTAAAAGGGAAAAAAATAAAAAATAAAATTCCAAGTTTAATAAACGTATAGCCATTCAATGCATAGTAAGCAGAAATTTTAAAATCAAAAAGCTTTAAGAAAATACATATTCTTTACCATTTCAATAATCCTCGATCTCTTTGTTCTTAATAGTACTTCTCAGTGCGAAAAAAAGAGTTGAAAGAAATAGAAAGGGATTTTTTTTTAATGAGATAGGGATTTTGTTTTAGCCCTCTCCATTTGCTATTCAAAACAAAAGGCTAATTAGTTGATTAGCTAAGAGATATTCCACCTCTCATTTGAGTCTCATTCCAAAAGTTCATTTCCCCACATATGAAGATGGAATGAAGAGTATTTCAATGCAACAAAAAACAAACTAACCATAGTGCCGTCCATACGAAAGCGTGAGTAACCCATCGACAATGAGATCACGACCACCAACAGAAACATTGAAATTCTCCATATGAATGTCCTTGACTACTGGTCCACCACTATTATCATGATTCACACATACAACCGGCATCCCTGCTCTAGCTGCTTCCATTTCCGCTAAATGCATTTGGAATTGAGCCTATATAATCAAAGATAAAAACTTTAGAAGGTAAAACAAAACTAGCCCATGTTTTGCTATGTTGATAATGAAAATTAGTAGTGACCCAGCTCAAGAAAAACCTTAAATACAATTGAAGATATCTTGCCAGTGATTCTTTACCTCTCTTTGGCGCTCATCCTTCCTCTTTTTCCTTTCTAGCTTTGCTTTATCACGCTCAGACAGAACAGGACCATCAAAAACCTCAGCTTTCTTTTTTGGAGCTTGCTCCTCATCCATTCCATCATCCATTCTAAAGGGGGTCGCAAGGCTACGCACGGTTGGTTTGATTTTCACTAGCCCATGCTTCCCGAACTTTTCAGATAATGTGCTGCACACCTATTAGAAAATGAAAAAAAAAATTATATATGACAAAAAAACAAAAAAAAAAAAAACTAGTTTCACAAACTCAACACAAAGCTATAGCATAAACTTCCACGGTTCCACCAATTACTCTCATTGAAATAAATAAACACTTCATTAGACCAAATAAAATGGTTTAGCAGCCCAGAAATCCTAATCATCAACCAGAATTAAACGACAAGATCCCTGATTTTCCTAAATTTAATCCAACAAGAATATAGATAAGCAATCTATAATCCCTAATTGAATAATAAACAATAAAAAAAAAAAAAAAACTAGTTTCGAAGAACTCAACACAAACGCCATAACATAAATTTGCACCAATTAGCCTCTTTGAATTAAATGTTTTGGCAGTGACAGAAATCCTAAATCCCTAATTCTCCTAAATTTAATTTAACAACAGCATGTATAAGTAATCTCTAGCCCTAATTGGATGAAAATCTACCCAAAAGCGAAGAAAAAGGAAGAAACTCACAGAGCGACACTCGGAGAAGTCGGTGACGCAACCGGCGGCAACAAGGAGCTCACCGAGGGCTTCGAAAGCGCCGTCGCCGTCGACGCCAAAGTCGAAGTCCTCGTCGGCGAGGACGTTGACGATGTAGTCGATGATCGGCTGGTCCACGTCCAGGGCTCTCCGGCCTAGCACTTCGTGCACGACCGAGCTCGCCACCTCCGTCATTCCTTGACCTCGATACTCGGGAATCCGATGAAGTACGAATCGAAAACGAGGATTATATCTAAATTCTGCGAGGGTTTTGCAGAGATTTGAGACCTTGAGTTATATCTTCTTCTTCTTCTTCTTTCTCGGCGCCACGTCCATGAAAGCAAAGGAGAATGGTAAATCGGTTGTAGGAAGTGAAACGACGACGTTTAGGTTTGGAAGGTTAGTGTTTGTTTACGGAGATTCTAGCGTCCGGATCTGGTGTGGGAATGACAAACGCCAAGTCAATGATGGTTGATTACTCCTATTGGATATCTCAAACCCAAATTGACTTTAGGAAAAATGATTAATCTCACTAGTGCCCTAAGGTCATTCTCACTTTATTTTTTAAATTTTTAAAACTCTCACTTTATCTGTTAAAATTTAAATTTTTCCTCTTTAAGCCAATTAACAAACATAAATTGTCCCCTTAAATCCCTACATTTTGTGTGTATTTTCAAATTTTCTAATATTTACCATCAGAATATAATTTTTGTTCTTTCGTAAATCTTATATTTATCATGTAAATTTAATATTTACTATTAGAACACATATTGTGTTTAGTCGTAAATCTTGATTTACAGCGTAGAGAGTGAGGAGATAGAGAAAGCGTGAAGAGAGAGTCCATAGTAAATTTTAATATTTCATTTCTTTTTTAATTAGGGACATTTTTAAAATGTTAATTTACTGTAAATCTGAATTTACACCCATCAGTTTACTATCTAATTATACACCTTAACCTATTTATTTTTATCACCCTTTTAATTAAGTATATTTTCTCAATATCCATTCTTCTTTTTCTACATTTTAAAAATCTATTTTATGAATAAAAGTTGTCTCTAAAGCATAAATTGGCGCTGTTCCCATAAGATTAAATTTGGGAAATAAGATCTTACTAAAAAAAATGGAAAATGAAATGAAACACTTTCTTTTAGGGAAAAATAAAATCAAAATTTTATGAAACTATGGAAGGATTTTGGAAACTTTTTAATTTACGGCATAAGTACATATGAGAAAATTCTAATAACACAACACATGAATTCAATCAAAATATAAACGTAGGAAGCCGTCGTTCAGATTTTTTTGAATTTTTTATTGTACTGATTTTGTTTTGTTTTTTCATATAAAAAAGGAAAAAAGGGCCAAAGATTGAACAGAATGGAATGGTTATGAACTTTTTATTAGAAGCTTAGGGAAACATTGTCCCTCAAATAAATAATCGTTCAATTCGCCGATTTAAGTATTTAATTTGAGTTGAGATGCGACTTTATGTGATAATTTTTAATTATAACAAAAAAAGTTAAACGTGATTTTTTATAAGAAATTTTAACTATAATAAAATTAGAATTAAAAACTCAAATCAGTGAAATAAAAAAAGCACTCAGATTATTTTTATAAATAGTCCCTGAATTATACATTAATTTTAAGTCGGCTCTTTGATTTCCCATTTTACACAACATTGAACACATTGCTTCGATCCTATTTGCTATTACGTTATTGGCCTTGTTAAAAATGGACATAAGTGTGTCGCATGACCCTCGTGCAAATTGACTTTAAAATTACTTATATCAATTACTTATATTCTTATATCAATCTATAAAAGGAAAAGCATATCTTAAAAAATGAAATTAAAAAAAAAAAAAACCCATCGCACTTCCCCTCTAATCTATGTTTTTAGTCCCTCCCCTCACATGGGAAATTGTAGTTCCAAAGAACAATAACAACTTATTGTTATCAAGATCGAGAAAGGAAAAATGAGAGAAAATGATAAATTCTCATTAACGTGAATAGTTACAGGAAAGCTATATATATAGCTGAAACAGAGAGAAGCTTCCGGTAGAAGCTAAACAAAAATAACAGCTGTCACTTGACAGCTCAGCACATTAACACAGCTCAGCATATTATTTACAACTAAAAATAACAAATCTAATAACAACTTAATACGCCCCCTCAAGAGGGACCATGAATATCCTTGATGGCCATCTTGCATAAGGAAGAATGAAGTAACGGCCAAGACAAAGCTTTAGTAAAAGGATCTGCAAGCTGGTGTTGAGACCGAATTGGCATGAGCTTAACCATTCCTTTAGTAACCATATCACGAACAAAGTGGCAATCCACTTCAATATGCTTAGTCCGCTCATGAAAAATAGGATTGGAAGCAATGTGTATCGCAGCCTGATTATCGCAAAAAAGCATTGTAGGAGAAGACAAATCAAAATGAAAATCTGATAGCAATTGTCGTAACCAAACCAATTCACTTACGGTGGACGCCAAAGCCCTGTATTCAGCTTCAGCAGACGAGCGAGAAACCGTAGTTTGCTTCTTAGACTTCCAAGAAACCAGAGAATCACCTACAAAAACACAAAAGCCGGTCACAGATTTTCGAGAATCTGGACATGAGCCCCAGTCAGAATCAGAAAAAGCCTTCAACTGAATTGGTAAGGCGGCAGAGTAAAAAAGACCTTGGCCTGGACTTGCTTTAATGTAGCGAAGCAAATGATGAACTGCCTGCAAATGGGGCACTCGGGGTTTTACCAAAAATTGACTTAATTTGTGAACGGCAAAGGTAATATCCGGCCGAGTGATAGTGAGATAAAGTAGCCGCCCAATCAACCTTCGATATTGAGATGCATCAGACAAAAGAACCCCTTCATCTGCACCTAATAGCACCTTTGCATCCATTGGAACAGTGGCTGGTTTACAAGCAAGAAACCCCGAATCTTCAAGCAATTGCAATGCATAATGTCTCTGAGAAAGCGCAATTCCAGCAGTAGATCGAGCTATCTCAATACCAAGAAAGAACTTCAAAGGACCTAAATCCTTGAGCTTGAACTTACTATGAAGAAACTATTTTAAGTCATTGACAACCTCCAAGTTTGGCCCTGTAATGATAATATCATCAACATAGACTAGTAAAGCAATAAAGGAGTCACCTGCACCCATAACAAACAAGGAGTAATCGGATTTGGATTGGACAAATCCAAATTGAATTAAGGCACAAGCAAACTTAGAATTCCATTGCCGTGAAGCTTGTTTCAGGCCATAGATGGACTTGTTGAGTTTACAAACCAATCGGGTACCATTGGAAGATTTCGCCCCCTGAATGTTATAACCAAGAGGGAGATCCATGTAAACTTCCTCAAACAAGTCACCATTAAGGAAAGCATTATTGACATCTAGTTGAAACAAGTGCCATTTCTAACTTGCAGCTAAAGCTAAGAGAACTTTGACTGTGACCAACTTAGCTACAGGAGAAAAGGTCTCAAAAAAATCAACACCCTCCTGTTGTGTAAAGCCTTTGGCCACTAGACGAGCCTTAAACCTGTCAATCGACCCATCAGGTTTATGCTTAATTTTATACACCCATTTACAACCAATGGAGTGTTTTCCTTTAGGCAAAGGAACAACTTGCCAAGTATGATTAGTCTCCATAGCTATTAACTCATCTTTCATAGCATCCCTCCAATCAGCATGCTTAACTGCCTGATGATAAAACTGTGGCTCTATGGAAGAAGAAACATTCATAACAAACTTCCTATAAGAAGTAGAAAGTTTGCTATAATCAAGTACCTTGGATAAAGGATGAAGAACAGTGGAAGTAGTATCAACCATCAAATTATTACAATGAAAATCTCTAAGATAAGACGGAGGCCGAACAAGCCTACTAGACCGCCTTATAGACAAATCAGGTATCCCAGGAACCGGTGGGGATTGAGGATCTTCAGGAAATTCAAAACCAGAAAATCCAGGCTCATGATGGTGATTAATAGAAGGATTGGGTAAAACAAAATTAGGAAAAGGATCTATATTTGTATCATCAGACCCTATAGAATGAAAAGGGAAGATTTCTTCATGGAAAACCACATCCCGAGAAATAAAAATTTTCTTAGACTGTAAATCCAGTAACCTATATCCTTTAACACCAGGCGGATATCCTAGAAAAACACATGCTCGTGCTCTAGGCTGAAATTTTGTTCGATGAGCCACAAGTGTAGATGCAAAAACTAAACACCCAAAAACTCAGAAATGAGAGTAATCAACCATATTGTCAAACAACAACTCATAAGGCGTTTTATTAAGCAGCAAAGGTGAAGGAGTTCTATTTATCAGAAAGGTGGCAGTAAGAATACACTCACCCCAAAACTTGATTGGTACTCCAGACTGAAAATAGAGAGCCCGTGCAACATTAAGCAAATGTTGGTGCTTCCGTTCAACAACAGAATTTTGTTGTGGGGTGTCGACACAAGAAAACTGATGTAGTATCCCAAGACTATCAAATAACTCAGTAAAATCCAATTCCCGAGCATTGTCTATCCTAAACTTCTTAATAAGGACGTTAAACTGAGTTTTCACCATATGACAGAACTTAGGAACTATAGTAAGAACATCAGATTTCTGTTTTAGTAAATAAATCCATGTAAAACGAGTGCAATCATCAACCAAGGTTAAAAAGTATCTATATCCAGCATGTGAAGGAATATGATACGCACCCCAGATGTCACAATGCACTAAATCAAATGCTGAATCGGACAAATGATTATGAGAATCAAATGATAATCTGCATTGTTTAGCCAATGGACAAATATAACATGGACCTTCATGACTAAAATTTGAAGCATCAACATTTAATTGCTTCTGTAAACCTACCAACCTTTTAAAAGACAAATGACCAAGTCGAGCATGCCATATCTTGGCAGTGACTTTATTCACAAACAAATGAGAAGCAGACAAATGATTGAAATCTGTAGATAACAAACCACAATTATTAGTATCCAGAACATATAAGCCATCCAGCCTTTTACCCCTGCCAATCATCTTCTTGGTGTTGATATCATGAATAACAAAGGAAGTAGACAGGAAACTCAAAGTCACCTTGGCATCAGCAGTCAAGGCACTTACTGAAATTAGATTGAATCTAAACGGTGGCACAAATAGCACATCTTTAAGCAACATCTTTGAACTTATACTTACATCTCCATACAAAGAGACAGGAATACTAGTGTGGTTAGGTAGCATGACACTAGAATTTTGTAATGGTTTCAACGACATAAAGAATTCAGCCTTTGAACATATATGTCGTGAGGCTCCAGAATCAACAATCCAATGCCTTGAAATGGATAAAACAGTGTTTAAAGCAACTGTAGAATAAGTACCTGTGACACAAGTTATATTTGAAGCTTCAGGTCTATCATTAGAGACGTTGGTGGTCTGTGCCAGCTGATTGGAGAGCAAGGCCAGCAACTGATGACACTGAGCAGGACTCAATTGCTGAAGCAAATCGCCAGAGTTCGATGTGTTCACCTTAGCTTCACTTCCTGAGACTTGATGTACAGTATTATGCTGCTGTTCACCATACCGTTGCTTAGGTTTGTACCCAGGGGGATAACCGTGAAGCTTGTAACATCTATCAACCGTATGACCACGAAAATTACAGTGTGTACACAACGGCCTCTCTTTCTTATAAAATCTTGAACCTCCATTGCCCTGTGCATTGAACTTCTCTGGTTTATGTTCATCAGATTTGGCAGCAAACGCCATAGTATTGTTAGTGTCAGAACCAGTAGCATTGCCAATAGACCTCTGACGTTCCTCTTGAGCAGCAAAAGCAAACACCTTGTTGATGGGAGGCATAGGGTCCATGAGCAGCAGCTGGCCTCGAATCTGAGAATAAGAGTCATTCAGTCCCATGAGAAAGGACATTATATACTCCATTTGGTAATGTTCATTTAGATTTCGCACTCCTCCACAGGTACACCTCCCGCAAGAGCAAGCAGGACGAAAATTGCTCAATTCATCCCATAATGTCTTCAATCGTGTAAAATATACACTAATTGAATTCTGATCTTGCATTAGGTTCACCAGCTCGCGCCGTAGCTGGAAAATTCGCGGACCGTTGCTCTGCTGGAACCTATCTCGTAGATCCAACCAAATCTCATGCGCAGATTCAGAAAAAATCACACTAGCAGAAATCTCTTTAGAAACTGAGTTTAAGATCCACGAAATTACTATATTATTGTTCCTAATCCAGAAAGCCAACAAATTGGAATCATTTGGTTTCGTTATGGATCCATCAATAAACCCTAATTTGTTCTTAACTGAGAGAGCAATCAACATAGCACGACTCCACGAGGCATAATTGTCCCCTGTAAGGGCTTGAGAAACTAAATTCAAACCTGGACCATCCGAATGATGCAGGAAGTATGGACTCGAAGGATCGTCAATGGCGGACTTGCCATTTTCAGCCTTGGAACTTGCCATCGGAACGAATCGAAAAATTGAGGAAGAAAAACGACGATTGAATCGGAAAAACTACGATCAACCGAAGAGATGATTGAACAAATCAATCGATGAACAACCAAGTAAAACCAAACTCGATCAAAAAAACTCGAAGCGTGTTTCTCCGCTCTGATACCATATCAAGATCGAGAAAGCAAAAATGAGAGAAAATGATAAATTCTCATTAACGTGAATAGTTACAGGAAAGCTATATATATAGCTGAAACAGAGAGAAGCTTCCGGTAGAAGCTAAACAAAAATAACAGCTGTCACTTGACAGCTCAGCACATTAACACAGCTCAGCATATTATTTACAACTAAAAATAACAAATCTAATAACAACTTAATAATTGTTACTTACAAAACAATGCAAGGACTTTCCTATTTCCTACCATAAGCTTGCTCTCCACGGCAACCCTTGTTCTATCTACCCCATCCATAATGACCCGATCAAGGTCATTTTGAGAGCAGAACTCACCATTAATAGCGACTAGGAACGGAGCTAGCTAAGGGGACGTCTGTTTCTTATATTTGTCACTGATTCTGAATAATGATTCATGGTTTTCTACAGTATTTTCTTCTCACAAAAAATACACGTAAAACAAGAATAGTTTTGAATCCATGAACCAAATATCCTCTAAGACTTAAGGGGTCGTAACTCCCCTGAGCTCAGTTAACTCCTTTTTATATTTTTCTTTAAAATTATTATTTTATTGGGTGCGTTTGGAACTCGTTCTAAAATGATTTTGTTTTTTTGTATGAAAATGAAAATGAAAATGTTTTCAATCTCAGACAAAAATCATTTTTGAAAATGCGTTTGGTAGTTTTATCAAGAGATTATTTTCAGTGTAAAAAAATTCATTAATTTCTCTCTCTCTGTGCTCGAGAGATGAGAAAACAAAAACAAAAAATGAAAAATGACTAAAAGTCGTTTTTCATTTCTCTCTCATTTTACACTAAATCAAAAAATCGTTTTCATTTTTGTTTTTTGTCTTTAATTGTGTCAAACGCCATTTCTCTCACATTTTTATTTTTTTTCTAAAAAAACGTAAAAAATAAAAACAAAATCAACTCCGAACAGGGCCACTATTGTTTTGAGATGTACTATTTTTTTGTTTAGCACCCTAAACCTTTTTATTTCTAAATTTTATGATAAATATTTTGAAAGTTTTCATTTATAGCCTTAAATTTCATGTAAAATTTATCACTTTGTCCCTCTAGAATTTTCTAATTCTAAATTTCACGCAAGATATCTAAAATTTTTTCATTTACCCTCGAGCCCGTTTCGCTCATTGATTAAAATCATGAGATTATAACCATTTTTGATTTACGTGTATTTTTTATGAGAGAAAATACTGTAACAAACCATGAACCATGATTCGAATCAGATAACGAATCCTCCAACCAAACGGGCTTCGAGTTTAAAATTTTAATTTAACTCAATGCCCCTCTGAAAAATTTTCCTGATTTCGTCTCTGATGGCGACCCTCATCCGTGTGACAACTCCATGCTATGTTCGACCTTACAGTTAGTTTGCCAGAAAATCTTGCCCATAAATAACAACCTTCGTCTTTGCAAGAAAATTTCACCATCCACAGCGACTTTGAACAAATTGACTAGAGGATAGGCGAGCAAACACAGTTATGGGGATTTGGTTCGATTTTGTTTTCGTTTTAGTTTTTCTCAAGGGAAAAGAATTATTTCAAAATAATCCTGATCAAATGATGAATTTTCATACATTTTTGGACCAGGTATGGGGACTTTGAGAAAGTTTAGGCATCATACTACATAAAAATTAATGGTGGGGGTCAACTCAAGATTGAGGCTATAATTCGAGGACTATTTGTAAAAAT